CAGAACAGCTAAATACTGCATTTCTTACACTCCACACACACACACACACACACACACACACACACACACACACACACACACACACACACACCCCAACACAGTACTCCCCAGATGCTAATCATCCCTGACTTGAAAGACCACATGCCTTCATGCCACCTGTAGTGCATGGTAGACAAGCCAAAGGCCAATTAGCCTGGTTGTCAAGGAGAGCTAAGTCCCTGAGATGCCAGAATCCGTTTTTTTCTCAAGGCAAATTAGAGCTAGCTATGCAAGGAATTGGGTGGGGAGATGTGGGGAAAAAAATCATTTTGGAGAAAATTGATCTCTTTCCTGGTTTGGAAAGATCAGTACAAAGAAGTGGCATATCATCTTTGTTCATCCTGTTTCTGACACCCTGAGGGAGAAAAATACATTGCTACCAGATAAAGGCAAGTTGATTTCTCAAGATCTTGGAGAGGGCTTGCAACTGGGACAAGCTTGTTTTTACTATTTCACCCTGTGAACCGACTGGGTTAAAAAAAATTAGCCTATCATGGAAGTTGCATTTATAGGTAGTAGCTGACTGTTACTTACTCATCATACACAGATTTATGCATATTGAATCAGTCTTATTCCTTTTTTAAAAAAGAGAAAAGGCACTGTGGCTGAGGTAGGTTGCTTCATTGTAGGTACAAAATTCTTTGAAATAGAAATGAGCTCTTGGTCCTCCTCAGCCCCTCATAAGAACCACCTCCCAGTGAGAGGCAGAAGGTCAAGAGTAGCTGAGGAATTTGGGGATCTCATCCCACCTCACCATCCACTCATGATAGGCCCTATTTGCTTCTCCTAGAAGAAGGATGAGGAGAAACAGATTCACATTGTCTAGAGGAGGCTATGCTAACCTTGCACCTTCCACTGGAGAATTTCCTTCAAGTAGCTGGAACTCAAGAGACTAAGCAACATGGCTGTGAGTACTTACATCAGTGCTACCTATGAACACCAGCTGCTTTGTTGAGTTTCTACACATTCCTGGGTTGTAGGAGCCACTTGACACTTTCCCAACTGAGAATTAAGTGCATATTGACTATAGAATGTAATGTTTTAACAGTACCAAAACCATTTACATTCTGCTTGTGCCTATGGAGGTAGCTGGCTCTATAGCTTGGTTCTGAGAACTCTGAAGTTCACAACCTTGAACCAGCTTCCAGATATCAGTCCATCCCTTGCCTTTCTCTTACACTTTTAAAGCAAGTGAAATTGTGTTTATTTTCTCAGCTCCTGGCCAACTGCTTTTGTGAGCTGGTTAGAATTGTAGGCTGACAGTTGGACTCTGGAAAAGTTATAGATCTACTGCTTCATTGTTTTGGTCTTCTGGACTTAACATATCTTTGCCAACTCCAGGCTACAGTTTTGCATTTGCTGATGCAGAATCTAGTGGCTTCAGAAAGCTGGGTGTATTGATCTGTTCTTTCTCTACAGTTTGCTGAATATTTCAAGTCTTTAATTTTTTTCTCTTATGTGCATCTAACAGCCATCTATCTATATCTCACCAAATATATATCTATATCATA